AATGACCTGGAATGATTTCACACTCAGCAGGGCAAGGGGAGGCTGGGATCTGCCCAGCTTCCCCCAACCAAAACCAAGAGCCTTCCCTGTGGGAAGGGAGGAGGGAAACCGAGTCAGGTAATGAGCCCTGCTGAGGGGACAGCAGTGAGAATCTGCGTCACATCAAGGATTTCCAGCCCTCCCAGCAGTGGAAATCTGTGACCCCTCTGGTCACCCCACTGCCGGTGGGGCTGGATACCTTCGCACGAGCAGGATGGAAAATTTTAGCTGCTGGCGAAGGGAGCCTGTTTACTGCCCAGARGGGAAGGGCAGCGCCTGCAGCGCTGGGACTGCTTGGCTCCCCACAATCTCTCCCAAGGGTTTTGGCAGCCAACGCCCGGCCAGCAGCTGACCTTCCCAGCCCCTCTCCCGGCGGGTGCCTGGCATTGCCTGCAGGCCGGGCAGAGCAGTGGGGTGCAGCCTGGATTTGGAGTGGCCGGCCTGGATGCAGTGCTCGTCCCCAGCAGGACTGTCACCCTTCGGTGGGAGCTCCACCACAAAAGCTGTCACCCCAGTGGTGTCACTAACTGGAGCCAGCTGCGGGTGCCTGCGGCCRGGGCTTGGCACTGGCAGCACCAGGAGCTGACACCGAACAATGCTGGGCTTGGTGCTCCCGCCYGATCCTTAGGGAGCTAGCGGGTGGCTGGGGAGCTCTTCCGTAGATTCAGTCCTGCTTCCTTCCCCTGCCGGCCCTGACACACCCTCGCGGTCTGGTGCTTCCTGCACAGGGGCACCCCGATGGCCCTCAGCCCAGTGGGGTCAGCCCTGGCAAGAGCAGGAGGGAGACAGGCAGGACATGGGGACTGCCACATGGCTGGTCCCTGAGCCCTGCCGGTCCCGTCACCTGCCAGAGGGAACCTGCTGGAGCCTCAACAGTACTGCGGGAAGGAAGCCCCCCCAGCCCAGTTACACCCATGGCCCCCCTTGTCCTCTCCAGGCAGGAAACCCACGGGGCCATGGCTGAGTCAGCAGCACCGACTGCCCTAGCCCCGCACAGGATGTCCTGTCCAGCGCAGCACCGCCCCGGGGTCACCACTGTCCTGGGGACACGGCTTTTGCAAAGGACTTTGCTCTTCTAGGGTCACCAACGCCTTGAGGAGACCAACATTCTGGGGTTGCCAATGCTCTGGTGATCCTACCGTCGYAGGATCACCAATATTTTAGGGACAACACGATCCTGTTATACCATCATAGGATCAGCACCATTCTAGAATCCCCATTTTGGAGTGATGATGATCCTGGGGACATCACCATCCTGAGGTCACCACCGTTCTGGGGTCACTACGGTTCTGGAGTGCCCATGACCCCGGTACCCCGCCCTGAGCACAGCCCGTCCCGGAGCAGCCGCGCTTTGGGGACCCCCGGCACTCCCCCGCACAGTGTGGCGCCCCCTGCCGGCCCCAACCGCGGCCCCGCCCCGCCTCCTTCCGCCGCGTGGGGGGGCGGGCCCTCCCGGACYGTACCAATCGCGGCGGGACAGGGGGGTGACTCCCCGGTGCCCGGTGCCGGTACAGCGGTCCCGAGGAGGTACGTGTGCGCGGCGGGGCTCCGCGGCCGCTCTGGGGCTCCGGGACCCCGCGGTGATCGGAGGCACCGGCCCGGCGCGGGGAGGGGGGGGCACGGGGGCGGGGCCGGCGTCCCCGCGGGTGGTGCGGCCGGAAGGTTTAAAAGCGGCGGCGGGGGGAGGCGGCGGTGCTGAGGAGCCCGCGGCGGGGGATGGCCTGAGGCGCGGTGAGAGCCGCCGGGGAGCGGGAGCGGGAGCGGAGCGGAGCGGGGCCGCCGGGGGCCGCGCCCCGGCGCTTTGTCTGCCCGGCTCGAACAAAGGCGGCGCCGCGCCGGCACCCGGGGGAGCGCGAGCGGGCGAAGCCGCTTGGGACAGGGATTCCCGAGACCCCGGGGCTCTGCTCGCACCCGCCGGGACCTCTCTGCCCCGGGAGGGGACTTGGGTCAGGGTCTGCCTTGGGGGGTGCGGGCAGATCGACCCCTGCCTGCACCCCCTSCTGCCGGGCGCCCCTTCTGACTCTGGTCTCCCGCCGCCCCCAGGTTCCGTCGGGCAGGATGCGCGGGGGCTGCGCGGCGGCGGTGGCKGTGCCCTGGCTGGCCCTGCTGGCCTTGGCCCGGCAGCCCCCCGAGAAGCCGTCGGCCCCCCCTCACCTTACCCGCCGGCCCTTCCTGGTGGCCTGGAACGTGCCCACCCAGGACTGCAAGCCTCGCTTCCAGGTGTCCTTCGACTTCAGCATCTTCGACCTGTACGCCTCTCCCAACGAGGGCTGGGTGGGGCAGAACCTCACCATCTTCTACAAGGAACGCCTGGGTCTCTACCCCTACTACAGCCGTCAAGGTGTGGCTGTCAATGGTGGTGTCCCCCAAAACAGCAGCCTGTCCGAGCACCTCGCCCGCCTCCAGGAGGGTATCGATAAATATATCCGCTCATCCACCAAAGAAGGGCTGGCCGTCATCGACTGGGAGGAGTGGCGGCCAGTCTGGGCTCGCAACTGGAAGCCCAAGGATATCTACCGGGAGGCATCACAGGAACTGGTGTTACAGCGTCAGCCCAACTGGCCCCGTGAGAAGGTGAACAAGCAGGCAGTGTTTGAGTTCGAGTCAGCTGCTCAGGAGTTCATGGTGAGCACCCTGCGCAAGGCCAAGAGCTACCGACCCAAGCAACTCTGGGGGTTCTACCTCTTCCCTGAYTGTTACAACCATGACTATAGCAAAAACAAAGACAGCTACACTGGGCAGTGCCCGGACGTGGAGAAGACCCGCAATGACCAGCTGGAGTGGCTCTGGAAGGAGAGCACSGCACTCTACCCCTCCATCTACCTCGACCCGCTCCTGGACTCCACTCCCAACAGCCGCAAGTTCGTGCGGGCGCGGGTGATGGAAGCCATGCGCATCTCGCAGCAGCACCACGATGACTACTCCCTTCCTGTCTTCGTCTACACCCGGCCCACCTACCTCCGCAAGCTGAATACACTCAGCCAGGTAGGGCTGTGCCACTGGGACTTCCTCACCCCCAGTGCTGGGCATCAGGGYTTTGGGGTCAGCTGAGGTGGTTCCTCTGCCTGTGTATCTCATCTTGCTGCTGTGGAGCAGGGTGGCTCTGGAGGCTGGTGTCTCCACTCATGGTGTTGCTGGCACCCCATGGCTGGACTGTTTCCATGCAGCTGGGAAGCGGTACCATTTGGCATGGGGCTGGTCCCAGGGAGCCAGAGGGGTGCCTCCTTTCCTAGGACCCCCAGKTCAGTGCCCCTCTGGGCTGGGTGATGGGGTGCCACTAACTGTTTCTCTTATGGATGGGATGTCTGGCAGCAGGACTGGCACCAATGGTGACCATCACTAGGGAAGTGCCTGGGAAGTACTGCAGGACTTGGAGGTCCTGGCAGCTGGGACCCTGGGGTGACCACAGCCCYTGTGCTGTGGTGGCTTAGCCCCTAAGGAGGAGGGCAGTATTGGGAAGCCTTGTCCCCATGTTGCTGGGACAGTCCCCTTTCCCTGGAGCAGGGATTGGGTCTCTTGCCCTCCTGACCCTGCAATGGACACTTTGGAGCACACTGTGCTGGGGCTGTAGGTGCTGCATGGGTTCTGTGGGTACTAACTAGGCCTTGTCCCCACAGCCGGACCTGATCTCCACCATCGGAGAGAGCGCGGCACTGGGTGCAGCTGGGGCCATTTTATGGGGTGATGCAGTTGACACCAAAAACCGGGTAAGTTTGGGGTCAGGGTGGGAGGTAGATGATGGGTGATCACCTGCCCCCAGAGGAGGACCAGTGGCTGAGCTGACCTTTCCATCTGAGTTACTTCTCCCYGGGTCACACCAACATGCCCCTGGTATCTCTTTCCCTAGGAATTGTGCCAGATCATGAAAAACTACCTGGAAGGGGACCTGGGACGCTACATTGTGAATGTATCAACAGCAGCAGAGCTCTGCAGCAAGACGCTGTGCCAGGGCCAGGGTCGCTGCCTGCGCCAGGACAGCAATGCTGATGTCTTCCTCCACCTCAACTCGACCAACTTCCAGCTGCGGCGCCGGGATGCTGACCACCCCCAGCAGCCCCTCTTCTGGGCCGAGGGCCAGCTCTCCTCCACTGAYATACTCTTCCTACGGACCCACTTTCATTGCCACTGCTACAAGGGCTGGCAGGGCAGTGGCTGCCAGACACGTGCTGACCCCCGCAGTGATGCCTCTGGCCCTTTGGCACCGCTGGGACTTTGGGTGCTSTTGCTGCTTGCAAGCTGGTGCTAACCTCCGTCTGGACTGAGCTGCCCCTTTCTGTGGCGGTGTAGGAGGAGCCTATTTAAGATATTCCTACCCTGCCTGGGAGGCAGCTAATTGTGGAGGGCTGTCCCTCACTGTGGTGGGGGGAATGGGGTGAAGAGATGTGTCTTGTCCCATCTCTACCCTCCCTGCTGCAGTGCAGGTGCCTGTCTTGGGGATGGGGGGAGGAGGGGGACTCCTCTCCTGTTGTAAGGAGAGGGATGGGGGCAAGAGGGACACGGGGGTGGGGAGCGGGTGCTGCGTGGTGCTGAGCCCCCGTGTGCTGCCCCACACTGAAGTGCTTTACTTGGAATAAAGCTGGTCAGAGAGAGATATGGGTTGATTTGGCTGGGGCGGGCACGGGGCACTCAACTCGCGGATACAACGCCGGAGCGAAGAGGAAAGCTTTGYGGTGTTGGGATGTGCCCCGTGGAGCCGGAGCCCCGTGGGGAAGGCGCTGGAGGTGCGGGAGCGGCCCGTGGAGCCGGAGCCCCGTGGGGAAGGCGCTGGAGGTGCGGGACCGGCCCGTGGAGCCGGAGCCGCGTGGGCAGGCACGGCCGGGCCACCCACGTGGAGGCTCCGTGCTGCCCCGCCCCCACCGGCCCCGCCCCCAGCGGGATTCCCCGCCTGTCCCCGCCCCAAGCCCCGCCACACTCGCGGGAATGTCCGGGGTGCGGGGCCGGAGCCCGGGACTGCCGTGCGGGGACACCGAGCTGTGCGCCACGGCCGGGGGTGGTACAGCCCCGCCGGGCCGGGGACAGCCCTGTGCTGCGAGCGTCCCTGAGCTCCGCTGTCCCGTGCCACCAGTGTCCCCCAGCGGTGCCACCGCGTGGCTCCTGTCCCCGTGCAGCCTGTCCCCGGCGCTGCACTGCTCTGCCTGTAGTCCTGCAGCCTCTCCGGACACTGCCCTGCCCTGTGSGGTGCCCGTGGGCATGGAGCGGCCCCGTGTGGGGCAGCCACCTTCCTGCCCACGCCCCTCGGCTGCGGTGAGTGTCCCCAGGCTGTGGGTTCTGTGGCTGCTGTCCTGTGCTGCGAGTGTCCCCAGGCCGTGCTCTCTGTGGCTGCTGTCCTGTGCTGCGAGTGTCCCCAGGCCGTGCCTTCCTGCGCCTCCTGGCCCCACGCGTGAGTGGCCCCAGGCTGTGCCCTTGTGTGGCTGCGGTCCTTAGGCGGGACTGCCCCGCGCCACCCCGGGCTGTGTCCTGCCAGGTCCTGTCCGGTGCCGTGAGTTCCCTCCCGGCAGTGCCTCCYCCCGCCGGCGAATGGCCGTCGCTCTCCACTTCCCGAGCGGCGCCAGCCCACGTCCATCGCCGTGACTCTCCTGCCCCCGCCCCGTCCGTGTCCGTGTGTCTTTCCAGCCYACTCATCGGCAGCCAGTCACGGGGTGTTGACTCTGCGCATTCCTTCCCTCCGCCGGTCATTACGCGGGGCTGACGCTGCTGTCCCCACTCCGGGGCTGCTGTGCTGGACTCCAGCTGCTGATAAACTCGGGGATTCAGAGGAGGCGGGAGAAGTGACCCGGGGTGACTGGCACCGCTTGTGAAAGGAGGTGTGGATTCATGCCGGTCCTGACGGGATAAAAGCATCAAGCTCTGCCCGGGTCTCAGTTGTCCCCAGGCAGCTCCAGGACTCACCCTGAACCCACCAGCATCATGGCATCGGTGTGGTCCTGCTTGCTCCTCTTGCTGCTCCTGCCTGCCCTGGCCCACGCTGGGGGGCCTGGCCCTGTCCTCATCAACCGCCCCTTTGTCACCATCTGGAACATCCCCACCCAGCGCTGCGCTGAGAAGTACAATGTCACCCTCAGCCTGGACGTCTTCGATGTGTTGGTCAACAATAACCAGTCCTTCACCGGGCAGGACATCACCCTCTTCTACAGCGACAAGATAGGTCTCTTCCCCTACTACACATCTGAGGGGGTACCAGTGAACGGKGGGCTCCCCCAAAACGCCAGCCTGGAGACTCACATCCGCCAGGCCACCCAGGACATCAAGGTGACCCTGCCCGACCCTGACTACAACGGACTGGCTGTCATTGACTGGGAGAAGTGGCGCCCACTGTGGATCCGCAACTGGGACTCCATGGAGATCTACCAGCAGAAGTCGGAGGAGCTGGTGCAGCAGCAGCACCCGCAGTGGCCTCCCAAGGAGGTGGAGGAGGTGGCCAAGCAGCAGTTTGAGGAGAGTGCCTGCGATTTCATGAACACAACCCTGTGGCTGGGCGAGAGCCTCCGTCCCAATGCCTCCTGGGGTTTCTATGGTTTCCCCGACTGCTACAACAATGACTTTGATAGCCTGCCCTACAATGGGACGTGCCCAGAGGTGGAGCAGGAGAGGAACAAGAATCTGTCCTGGCTCTGGAAGAGCAGCCAGGCACTGTACCCCAGCATCTACCTGCCCCTCCGCCTCAATGGCACCAACAAGGTGCTCGCCTACGTCCGGCATCGYGTGGCCGAGGCTTTCGCTGTCCAGCGTGGAGTCCTCGACAGCGGTATCCCTGTCCTGCCCTACTCCCAGATTGCCTTTGARCGCACTGTGGACTTCCTTTCCCAGGTGATGGGGATGTGGGCACCTCTTGGACCAATGGGTTGGCATGGGGGAGTCATTAGCTCTGCGGGGGCAGTGGGGGGGCTTTGGGCACTGCTGACTTCTCCTGTCCCCATGGGTGCAGGAGGACCTGATTAACACCATTGGGGAGAGYGCAGCTCAAGGTGCCGCTGGCATCATCCTCTGGGGCAGCCTGGACTACAGCACCTCCAAGGTGAGTGCAGAGGGTGGCACCAGGTCCCTGCCAGCAGGAACACCCAGTTCCTCAGCTGTGCAGGGCTGTGACACCGAATGCCATTGCAGGAGATGTGCCTGAGGCTGAAGGACTACGTGGAGGGACCCCTGGGCCACTACATCGTCAATGTGACGGCCAGCGCTGACCTGTGCAGCCAGACCCTGTGCTCCGGCCGGGGCCGCTGCGTGCGCCAGGACGGCCAGCAGGGCTACCTCCACCTCCACCCTTCCCGCTTCACCATCAACCTGCACGCTGGCAAACCCTGGCTGGTGCCTCAGAGCCTGGAGCCTGGGGAGGACATCTCCCAGCTGGCCAAGGAATTCAGCTGCCAGTGCTATGACAAGTGGCAGGGACCGCGCTGTGACACCCAGGGCTTTGCCAAATGACCCCCTCCCAATCCTCCCACCCTGGGGACACTGGGGTGGGCAGGGTGACGCTACCTCAGCACCCTCACAATGAGGCTGAGAACGTGACTGTAGGGCTATTAATAAAACCAGAAAATACCAGCAAGCATGTCTTTGTCTTCTGCTGCAGCAGGTTTTGGGGAGGGAGGGTCCTCCAGCAACACCAGTGGTGCCTTTGTGAGGCTGCCAAGGGCTGTTCTTTGGGCTGGCTAGGGGCTTTGGGATTTGATGCCTCAGAGAAACCACAAGAAAAAAAGAAAATTTATGGGAAAAGACATAGGAAGAGGGATGATGGAGAAGGAGGATGAGAAAGGGGGGAATGATGGAGAATGKCTGAATAGTGGATGCAAAGGGGGTGAAAAGATGTGCCTGTGCTGCTGTAGTTGAGGGAATTTGCTCTCCACCCCCTCACTGTGCCCAGAGGAATGGACTGAAACCAATACCCCCGTTTGATTTTCCCCTGGATAACCATATGCAAAGCAGTTCAGCCTTCAGGTGATCTGCGAAAGCACTGATTTCTGTAGCCCAGGCCATAGACTTAACCATACCCATTTCAAAGCAGCTGGGAGAAGGCATGAYACCCTGGCCCAGCTGAGATAAAGATGTTGGCATCTTCACCTGGATGTTCATCTTGGGGAATCACATGCTCAGTTCTCTGATCTTAGGCCCTAATTCAGGTACTCTCTCCTTGCTGGGACTGCCCTGCATAGCACTGAGTGTGTACTGGGGGCTTACAAAGCTGCACCCTTCACTTTTCAACCAGTTGATGTAAACCATTGCAGAGCTATTACTGCAAATTTGTTCGTTTCTTATTATTACATAGAGGAGGATCTGAGAATATACCACTGGAGACATAATTAGGCCTTTGGATTCCCCAGTCACAGCTTTCAGAAACATACACTGTTATTACCAAGCTCTTTGACAAGCTGGGGGCCCCTGAAAAAATTAGTCATAATTGGATTTTGGCCCAGAATTAATAGTTTTATCTAATTCTTATAGAGATAGCTTGGTAAATGTTGTATGTAAATGTTGGAAACAATATTATCTTCCTATTTTTTGTACCTGGAATGTGATTTAACGTAAATGAACACTCAAACACGCTCCTCCCAAGCTGCAGGGAATCTGATATTTGCCCTGTATTAAATGCTGAAATTGAAAGCAAAGTTCACCTTGCTATTCACACAAAGAAAATTACCATGAAATTCAAGTTCTCCTTATGCCTGAAGGGATCAGAGCTGTGTGCTTGTAACTTCAGGTAATTTAATATGCTTCAAGTGTTCAGCTACTGGTGCCTAATCGGGGCTGGTCTGAGGTTCTCCTGGACAGTATTATCTCAATCCATTAACTGGGTTGATGTGGGCATCAGGAAATGGACATTTCCTCAGGAGTGGCAGAGGCTCTGACGCTGTCAGAAGCCACAGAAGGCCGGCAGCAACCCTGTTTCAGGTGTGGGGTTGTGGCTTTTCTTAAAGGAAAATGAGGCTGGGAAATGACAGACTTCCTTTATTTCTTGAAGCTCCTTTTCTTGTTACTGAAACTTGGGCATGAACACAGTTTGCCACTTTCAAATAATAGTTTTGGACGTGTAAGAGGATTTGCCTTATTCATCCTACTTATTGTAGCTATTCTTCTGTCCTTGTCTCTCATACTGTATCTCAAGATACCCAAGACACTGGATTTCGTGTAATTTAGCATGTCTTACTCCAGACTCTGAGGAATAGCAACTTGAAAGACATTGCATGTGGTGCCAGCAGACAATTTGGAAGCACTGAACATCTGCTAGGTTGTTTTTTCTAGGTCTGAAAGCCTGTACGTGTGYAGAGCTGTGCAAACCTAGCCAGAGCGAGCCCACGCTCGGTGGGAGTGTGCTGGAGAGGAGCCAGCAGTAATCCGAGCACGGCCCTTTGTGTGGGTCACATTTCTGGCTGTTCTGCAGCTCTCGGGGGGAATGTGCTCATGGTGCTCCTGTTTTCCGTGCTGGGGGTGACTGAGGAACCTGSTGTGTGCAGAGCTCACTCATCCACTGTGTTACAGGGTTCACACTGAATCAGTTTCCACGCTTTTTCCATGTGCTGCTCTGAGAAATAAGGGAAGACTGTCGCTTAGAGCTGTCCTTACACTGACAAGTTTTTAATTTCAGTGACTCATTATTTTTTTTTGTCTAGGTTGCTTAAGGCTCATATCTCCACAAATAATCCTATTTACCACAGTTAACTATCCCAAACAGAGAGAATTGAACTGCTGATTGTTCTGAAGATAGATTATTTTACAATCTAGTATGAAGATGCTTGTAGTGAGGAGCCTTTAAATGCTTTGAGATGCCCAGTAGTTCAGCTGAAGGGTAAGGTGTAGCTTAAGTCTTGCATAAAACAGTTGGAAGGAAGCCCTCCCAAGCAATTCACAGGCTTTTCAGACACAATCAGGAAATTAGTAGCCTGTTATTTAGCTAATAAGAAAAGTTCTCATTTGCCTTGTTCCCTGACTGAAAAACTCAGAATTGGTATAGGGAGAAATTTCCCACATTGTTAGYAATCAGTTTAGTCAGACTCTAAGAGATTGTTTTTAATTTTGTCTTGCATTAACGGCCTGTGCCTATGGTTAGATGACTAAGGATGTGATGGTATTTTGAGATTCCAGGAGTTCTTTTAAAGGACCCCACCAGCTATCATTTGCTGTTGCATTTCACTTCATCCAAAGATCTGGGCAGAARCCATAAAACCAAAATCAAGAATATGGGAAGTAGGTCCTTCCAGACCACTTCTCCTGCAGCCCTTGAGGCTGGATGCTGAGCTTCTCCTGATGTACAAATCTCTTTTGGAACAAAGAAGTCCTTCCCAAAAGGAGATCACAGCAACTGTTTAGCTTGAAATTGAAGAGGTGGCATGTGTGTGTTTAAAATGCCTTCTATTCCACTCACATTGCAGTGGAGGCTTGTGGCACCCATGGCTGGTCACTCAGAGCTCAGGCTGCCTCGTGGGCATGCAAACACAGTGACATCTTAAATGGAGAGAGGGCTGGGTGCAGGTTTTGGTCACTCGGTTGAGCTGCCGCTGCAGAAAGCCCCCCTAACTCCAAACACACCCTGCCYTGCCGTGCCCAAAGCTTCCAGGTGAGCAGCTCACCCAGCCGAGGCAGCTGAGAGCACTCAGAGGTACCTCAGAGAAACATGAGACCGGGGAAGGAGGAGGAGGCAGCAGCACAGAAACTGCCTCCWGTGACACTTGAGCCCGTGAGCAGCTTGAGGTGCTCCCCAGAGCAGCAGAGGTTTCACTGGCTTTGAATAAAGCACAGCCCATCATGCCAAAAACATCCAGAGTGTGCACAAGGCTTCACTGCTTTCCTGTTAATACTTTTAACTAAAACTTGCCGCTTCTTTTCCACGTGCAATGTCAAAGCTCGCTTCAAAAAGCTGTTTCAAAAGCAGAACATCAGCTCMTACAGAAATAATTTCCAGAGTTTGAATGCAAGACTCAGTATCCCAACCCCCACCAGTGTTACTCAGAGCAGCACTGACTTGAACACAAAATTTTCAAGCTACCAGTTACCAGTTAAAATGAAAGTGTCTCTTCTTTATGATGTCTTTGTATCTCTGCTTTGTGTTTGAAAATCGCCCCTTCTTACCTCTTCCCTTGTTCAGGCATTTCTAGAAAAGACCTGAAAATATTTTAAAAAAMCAAACCTTATTCTAAGAAAGATCTAAAGTGTTCTTCAGGGGCCACAGACTCTGTTACTGCCCTGGATTTGACATCCCTCATTTCTGAGAACTAGCAGGGATAGCAGCCTGCATTCCTCTGATTCAACAGATTGCAATTTCAGAAGTTACTTGGAAGGAAAAAGTAAGCCCGAAGCACTGTTTGTGGCTCTCACAAGTGTTTAAACATCCAGCACAAACAGTAGACCTTGCTTTAGGTTATACAAACAAAAATGTCTCTGCATTTGMGAACTTGTCCTGCTTTGTTCCATAACTTTTTTAATCTCCCGTTACTGGGGCTGGGCACCAGAGCAGGACTTTCACCACAAGAATGTGGGCGCAGCACAGCTCCTTTGTTGCGAGTGCTCCAGGCCAGCCTCAGGCAGGGCTGCTGTGTGGGGTGCAAGGGCTTCCACGTTTTCTGTTCAAGCTAAGTGTAGTTTGTGTTTTTCTCTGCTGTTGGGACTATCAGAAGCACAACACTCGTCCTGTTTGCAGCATCTCTGCTGCTCTGACTTGGCAGCAGTGCCCCTCGTAGTTATTTTCCACCCTGGGGCTTTAAAMACAGACTAATCAGTGTCCTGTGCTGGCGTTAGTAAATCAGCAGGAGTGTTATCACCAGCCCGAGGAGGGTCAGAGGGAGGCCTTGGAGTGATTCGAGTGAAGCCGSTGGCTTGTGCTGTATMAAACACCTTGTAAATTCATTTTTCYCCAGGAACATGTTAAGCACAAAGCCATACARTGCTCCAAACTCTGCTCTAATGTGCTGGTACAGACTTCAAGCAAACACCAAATAATATAGGCAAACATTTTGTGGGAACTGTCCTGCATTTGACTGTAACTTCTCAGGAGGAAAAATTTGATTTGGCGGATTACTGGTTCTATTCCCCAATTAAGACATAAACAGTTCTAATCCTCTGTGCTMTTGGGCAGAGTTCAAGGTTAGTTTCAGCAAAAACAAACCAAGCTGGAAATTGAAGCAGGGAAAAAATAAACCCCAAAATTTGGAAGCAGAACCTGCCCTCAGTGCAAAGCATATATTCTTTATTATCTTATTTGTTTTAATACACACCAACCGATAGCTGCACACAGCAGATAYCAGCTGAGATAACAGGGAGTTCAATATTTAAGGCTTGGCTTTTCTCACCATAGCAACAAATCTGTAAGGAGAGTGAGAGGACACGGATAACTGGCAGCATCCAGCACAGCGAGGGCAGCGGTGTTGGAACTGATTTTTGCCTGGCTCTGTCACACCRTCACAGTGCCTGATGCAGAACCAGCGGGGATGTGTGAGCACAGGCACCCGCCGTGCCCTGGGGACTGTGTGCTGTGCAAAGCACCACAATAAACACACAGGTAGGTRCTTGCCTTCTTGTCTTCAAGGCAGCTGGGGAAGAGGGTGGCCTGTG